ATAATTAAAAAAATTACTACTTCATCTTTTTTTTTTTTCTCTTTTGAAAATAAGAATTTTTTTAAAAGCATAAAAAGATAAATTAAAATATAATTCAAAAAAATATTCAGGATATTTTTTTTTTATAAAAATAATTTAAAGAAAAAAAAATTCTTATTTCAGTTTCCCCACCCATTTCTCCCTTTTGAAAAATTTGCAAATGGTTTCTTGTAACTTACCCTACTTCTTCCTTCTCATTCTGTGATATGTTCATTCTATTTTCAGACTAATAAAATAAATAGCTATGGCTAATTTTTCATGAGAAGGAAAGCAGGTTGGTGTGCAGTGCATTTATCAGGAATACTAGTGAGCTCATCACATAGGTATATGTTGGCAGAGAGAAGTAAAAAAAAAAAACGAAACAAAAAACTTGTCTTCAGATCATGAAGCCCTCAGCTTAAGAATATATACTGATACTTATTTACTTTTTTTAAGGCTAAAAATTGGAATACCAGCAGTAATGGAAAAGATGTCCTTCTGTATAAATTAATGAAAATATATAGATAAATGCTTGAATTTTTCTTTTAGATTTACAAACTTGTGTATGTGTGTTTAATGTCTCATGCAATCCCCTTCTTTTTAGAGTTAAAAGCTAGGGTTATATTTTATTTTCACATATAATGCAATTACTCCATTTTTTTTTTTTATAAGCAAAAAAACTTGGTATATATTTTATTTTTACATATAATTCACCCTTTCTATTTTTGCATGCAAAAATCATGGATATATTTTATTTTCCAATACATTTTCTTTTTGACATATGCCCCATTTTTTATATGTATATCTAGAAATATATTTCATTTTCATCTATAATATAACTGTCCCATTTTTAATATGTAAAAATGTAGGGATATATTTTATTCCCATGTATAATACAACTGCTCTAGTATTTTAAGTAAAATATATTTCATTTTCATCTATAACTGCCCCAGTTTTAATATTTAAAAAGTAGGGATATATTTTATTTTCATGTATAATGCAACCAATGTATATATTTTTTTTTTTACATCAAAGATGTATAAATATATTTAATTTGCCTGCATGACACTGTCTGCTTCACAAGAGAGCAATTTTTCAGGATGTTCAGTCAGCAAAAAAGTCATTGGCACAAAAAGTGAATGTGGTGGGCCAAGTTTAAATTTCACCTACTTTGTTGCATTCCCAAATACATCTCTTCTGTCCCCAGCTTTGGGTTAAACAGTAGAGTAGAATAGACTCATTAACCTGAGAAGGCAACAAAAACAAACTACGCTATTTTTCCCCCAAGAAAGCATAGCAATTTACAATTAATAAAAAAAAAATGAGGTGATGCAACTGGTTTTTAATTCTGGCATTCTCACTTTTGATGAAATCAATTTCAAATCACTCAAGGAAGGTGATGTCATATAACTGTACACTATTTACATTATTCAGAATATTGTCTTCATCTTTGTCGCCATATTTATTACAACGTTTCGGCCCTTCAGTATCTGTCTATATTTCTGAGATGAGGTATTATGTACACTATTTACATTATTCAGACTATTGTCCTCATCTTTGTCACCATATTTATTACAACATTCCGGCCTTTCAGTATCTGTCTATATTTCTGAGATGAGGTATTATGTACACTATTTACATTATTCAGAATATTGTCCTCATCTTTGTCGCCATATTTATTACAACATTTCAGCCTTTCAGTATCTGTCTATATTTCTGAGATGAGGTATTATGTACACTATTTACATTATTTAGACTATTGTCCTCATCTTTGTCACCATATTTATTACAACGTTTCAGCCATTATATGCTCCAGCCTTCTTCAGCTGGTTGGAATGTCTAACTGAACCCTTTATTTCGCTCACTAGGGTCGACTATTCTTGTTCCACATGCCATGACATTGGTCCTGTCACTGGATCTAACTAATGCCTTTATCCACTGTGCCACGTGTCCTTGATGGTTCAGTTCGACATTCCAACCACCTGAAAAAGGCCGGAGAGTACAACGGCCGAAATGTTGTAATAAATATGGCAACAAAGATGAGGACAATAGTCCGAAAATTGTAAATAGTGTACATAATACCTCATCTCAGAAATATAGTCATATAACTGGTAAGTCTTTATATTGTGTATGTGTTTAATATTAGAAATACTTCAATATATATTCTCCATAGGAGACCATATATTGAAATGTGCTTAATGCCAAAACAAAAAAAAAAAAAAAAAAACTAAGGAAAAAGAAACAAAAAACATCTCATAAGAATTTCAGTTTAACCATTTATATGACATCACTTTGAGTGACTTGAAATTGGTTACATCAAACACAAGATCACCAGAATTGAAAACCAGTTGTATAACTGCACACGCAACAATCCTTGGAAATAAATGTTGCAACATTCAAAAGGGGGAGCTACAAGTTTTGGTGAAATTACTGATCACAGAAAACAACGTTTTGGAAATTTTAAAGATTTAATAAAACACTTGATAGACAGAATTTGTACTGCTGTAACCTAGGGAAAGTTACCGAAGAGAATAATCAAAAGAAGGTTGGTAATGAATGATAATACTTAGGACATGAACAACACATATAAGATTCACCAGCAGTGCATGGAAGAAGTAGTCAACTGCTATAAGTGATTCAAGTGAATTCCACAATGAATCTCCAACTGCAGACTAACACATACAGTATTCACTACTGTATTTATGGGAATGTGGGCATACCTATTATCATCCATATGCTACAACAAGCATATATATATATATATATATATATATATATATATATATATATATATGACCAGCTGAAGAGCAACTTGTCAGCTGTCAATATACCTCATAACACCCTCAAGCACTAAGCCTTGGAGCTGGTAGAATGGAGATCAATGTGTTTTAGTGGACTCAGCAGTTTTCAATCAGCTTGTCTGAATCATCTTCAAGAAGCAAGAGCAAGATCTAAAAGGTCAGCCAATCTAACAGTGATATCATCCCACAATCCTTACTCTTGCTCCATATGCGGCCTCCTTTGTAAATCACTAGTGGGTCTTAAGTGCCACTTAAGATTATCGCACAAAATTTCATCACTGAATCAATTGTCAGATCCTTATATGCTGAAACTGATGGGAGAGTCCATTATCATATATATATATATATAGATAGATAGATAGATAGAAATGTAAAAGGAAGACTAAAAACAGCTGTACCTAAAAGGTATAGGCAACAAAATGTGTGCTCAATACAAAATGAAAAAAAATAGAAGATGTAGAGCTAAGATATTTAAGAAAAGGCTAAAATGCCAACGAACCTCGCAACCCAGGTTTTGACAGTCAGGTCACTTCAAGCAAGTTGAAGGATCACTTGCCTGAGGAGACCTTATAGTTGAAACCCAGGATGCAAGGTTGGTTGGCATTTTAGCTTTTCTTAAATATAGAAGTTATGAAAAATTTGGTTATCCATATGGGTAGTCCCAAAGAGAATGAAATCCTGAGAGCTCAATGTAAATCCAGAGCCAATAATTTAAAAAAAAACAGACCACTTTAAGGTTCCATTATAATAGTTTATTTCATCAGAGCCCTTTTAAGGGACGATGGATCAACAGATAACACTTCCAAAAATGAAATGAAAGATAAAATGGAAATTCACACTTTTGACGAGTAGTATTAAGTTTATGTAATTTAACAGAGAGGGTAGTGAGGAGTGGTGTGAGAGACATGGTCGAGTTTAGAGAGGGTTTATTTTAATATTTCTTTCAATCATACTTAGTATTGGGTGAGGAGGGACCAGACATTGACCTATTTAAATGATCATCTTAACAGAAGTGATATATTGAAATGGGAGGGGAGAAGAGAGAAAAAGAAAAAGGGGGAAGTAAAGAGACAGAAACTGTAATTAGGTTTTATGTAAGAAGAAGAGGGGTGGTATATTTTTAGCAATTTATGTAAAAAAAATAGATTTTAATGTTTGATTGTAATTTAAATGTTCAAAAAACCCACAAAGAAATTAATTTGATGCTTGCTAGCAATTTAAATATTTAACTATATATCGTGAGAGAATCAAAACATGCAAGCCACAAATCTGCTTGTGTGTTTGCTTAAATGCTTTGCTAAACAGTGTCCAGGAGGCATGGTGGAGTAATAGATAGCGGCTCAGTTTGAGTAATCGGAGAGCAGAGTTCGTATTCCAGTTGAATCCATTACCTCTACTTACATGCTAATACCCTTGGGAAAGGTATGAATCCTCTTCTTCTCCCGCCAGCTATGGGCAAATAGCAAGAGAGACTGGGTTCTATAGCCTTGGATGGCAACTGGTCTACCGCAGAAAGATAATGGCAACCTACTGCAGGAAAATATCTGCCTCGTCAGTCATGTATCGAAAGATACATGATTGCCTAAGTGTGTATCACACATGGCACATAACTGAGCAACTGGAACAGCTGACTACCAACACCTCGCATTTGGCTGATGGCCATGTGAGGGGAGGGGCACAGTAGACTTCCGTGCTGCACTTGGGTAGACGACATACTGAGGTAGAGCTCATGCTATAGTAGCACCCTTTTTCTCTTTTTACTCATTACTAATGTTTCTGTCTCAAATTTCTCCACATTCTGTAACCCCTCGTGTGTTAGTGGCTGTACTGCCTTGCTTGGTGTGATAATGATTTAAAAAATAAAAAAAATAGATGACTACATCCTTAAGAAAAAAAAATATATCGATAGAATCAAAATATGTGAGCCACAGATCTACTTGAGTGTTTGCTTAAATGCTTTGCTAAACAGTGCCCAGGAAAAAAAGAAATATGAACTGAAGGATTGGGAACAATTGGGAAGACGGTTTCACTGATACAGTTACTAATTAACCCATAGCTGGGGGAGAAGGGTTCATGTCAAAGCATTTGCACATAAGTGAATATAATGAAGCCAACAGGAATTGGAGTTCTTCGATTAAAAATTCAGAGCCATTATCCATTACACCACCTGAACATCTGAGTTTACAGCACTTGGTATTCACAAATGGTCAGCCATCTAAATACTGACCAGGCTTGATGTTGCTTAACTTTGGTGATTGTATGGGAAACAGTGTTTCAACATGATGTGGCCATAAAGCAGGTCATATGAAGTTGATTGGTTTGCTTTTTGTCTTGTAGCATATCAACCTCAATGGTTTATTTAATGTCGACAAGATTTTGAGGATGGATTCGTATGAATAGAATATGTATTCTTTGTAAGAAATCAGTTTGGTTTGGTTTGTTTTGTGGCATATCAACCTCAATGGGTTATTTAATGCCGACAAGATTTTTAGGATAGATTCATATGAATAGAATATGTATTCTTTGTAAGAAATCAGTTTGGTTTGGCTTATTTTGTTTTACGGCATATCAACCTCAGTGGATTATTTAATGCCAACAACATTTTTATGATATGTTTGTATGAAGAGAATATGTATTCTTTGTGAGAAATCAGTTTGGTTTGGTTTACAACATATCAACCTCAATGGGTTATTTAATGCCAATAACTTTTTTTCTTTCCTGGTAATATTTTGTTTTGTCAAAAATCTATTTCTGGTAATAATTTTTTTTTCCTCGAAAATGTATAGCTGGTAATATTATTTTCAAAAACATATGGCTGGTAGTAGTTCTTTTTCTTCAAACATATATTTCTGGTAATAATTTTAAAAAAAGTTTTTCTAGTAGTAAAATCTATTTTTACACTTTTATAATGCTTTTTACTATTTGCCCATAGCTGAGATCCTAAGAGATGCTACCATTCCGGGTCATGAAACCAGCAATTAAGAAGTGGTCCCTTACTCCTCAAAACCTCCTGATCAGAGGTTTTGCTGCTGGACGTAGTTTATCATCTTACCCTGGACGCGGATGTTGTTTATTGTCATACCCAGGATGGTACATGAAGCTGAAAGAAAATAAGAGACACGTCTGCTGTGTAGTAAAGTTATTTGTACCTGGCAAGGGTTTTTGAATATATCATCTACAAATAAGGGGTAGAGACTAATTTCATATATATATATATATATATATATATATATATATAGTAACACCTCAAATTAATGGTCCTGGATTTAACAGACATCTGTAGATATGTTAGTGTCCAGCTGGAACTCAAAACATCCTTGTGTAGCAAGCAAAGTCCTTTAGTCCCATCAATAGACAAACTGGTAGTTCTGAGAATAACTACTGTTGTTTACTTGAGTGCTCCTCCTGTACACACATGCATCATGTCTCGAACATTTTATACTGATTTTGGTACAGTATACAGTATTGATTTTTTGTCGAACCCTTCAGTATGTCATCTGTGTGTGTGTAATTTATTTTAAGTTACTATATAGTAACTTAAAAGTTTAAATACACATATATATATATACCATATTTACATTTATTTACAATAATTTTGTACTGTACTGGGTGTTTTTAGGCTACAAAAAAGTGCTTCAAATTAACTGGACAAATGGCTTTGATGAACAACCCTCAGGTTAATCCATTAAATTGAGTGGTAGGGATTATTGCAAGGAGGTCTTAATATAAAAATATTAAAAAGTCAAATTCATGAAGAGGGCTTAATGTATAAATTTATATCTTGAGTAATATAAATAATAAAGAAAAAAACTTAAAGCATCATATAAATCAGTCATAAATCATTTATTTTCAAATTGCCTGGTTAAGTTTGTATCATTTAATGAAGTCAGCCTGATGCGGCAGGTTTATATTATATCTGCTGAAATAAATTTATAACCGAGTTACATCATTTTTTAAGTTTTTTCCTTCATATATATATATATATATATATATATATATATATATATATATAATAATGAAATGGACAAAAGTCTGACAATTATTTTAAGACATTTTTATGTTTATAGATTCTTTTTATAGATACAAATATTTAAGTAAATGCTCTGTTTATAATAAACAGAATTAAACAACATTTACTGACCTGAATGTCCGAGAAATTTTCATAGAAAATATTTGTCCTCCGACAGGATTTGAACCTGTATCCTATACGGAACCGTCATTTAGCTTGACGTACCTTAACTGATTTAGCTATAGAGGAGTTGCATGCGCTTTGAGCAGATATGAATGTACGTGACAGATTCATGGAAGATTGAAGTTTAAAGACAGTAAATTTGACCTTGCTAACCGAACGCTCCTCTGTAGCCAAAGCGTTTTAGGCAGGTCAAGCTAAATGACACTTCTGTATAGGATACAGGTTTGAATCCTGTTGGAGGATGAATATTTTCTGTGAAAATTTCTCAGATATTCAGGCCGGTGGTAAATGTTGTTTAATACTGTTTTTTATAAACAGAGCATTTACTTAAATATTTGTATCTATAAAAAGAATGTATAAACATAAAAATGTTTTTATATATATATATGAATATGAATTCATTTTAAGTTACTATATATTAACTTAAAAGTTAAAATACACATACATACTGTATTTACAATAATTTTTTTACTGTACTGGGTATTTTTAGGCCATGAAAAAGAGTGCTTCAACTAATAAACAACTTTAACAGAAGACCCCCCCCCTCCTATTAGGCTGTTAAATTGAGATTCCACTGTATATAAATAATACCAAATCCATAAGTGGTAGGGATTATTCCAAGGAGGTCTTAATATAAAAATATTAAAGTTAAATTCATGAAGAGAGCTCAATGTATAAATTTATATACAGAGTAATATAAATAATAGTAAGGAAATCTGTTATATACAAGGAAACATGTCTTGGTCAAGAAGTAACTGTAATCTGCAAGAATAGTATTCATTTGAAAGAACAAAATGACAACCTTTTCTCAGGTAGGAACCTGGAATAATAATACAGTAAAATCTTGAATTAACAGTCCCAGAACCAACGAACTCCAGATTTAACGAACAAAATCAGCAGAAATGGTAATGTCTGACTGAAACTCAAAATGCATGCACGTAGCGAGCAAATTCCATTATTTCCAGAATTGGCCACTATTGTTTATCGGCGCAATCAACAGACACAGATTGGTAGTTCTAGAAATAATCACTGTTATTTACTTGAGCGCTCGATGTGTACACACATGCATCATCTCTTGAACCTTTTATACTGATTTTGGTACAGTATACAGTATTTTTTTTTTTTTTTATCAAGCCCTTTCTTAGCAGCAGGAAAAGGTTGTGGAATGATCAAGAATGTCTACCGTGCATGATTCTGTTGACACTCTCCTAAAAGTTGTGACCAAGAATTGGGAAATTAAGGCGTATTATCAACACCTTCCGACATTAAGGGAATTGATAATTTGCTACCAGTATCAAAGTGGAGAAACAATAAAAGTTGGACTCGTTCTTCTAGGCCATACAGGTGGCACGTGAAAGCAACCCAGACTCACGACCCTCACCACCATCAACACTTTCTCCCACCAGCACGCCATTATCACCCCTCCGAAAAACCAGCACTGCTTCACAGGACTCACATGGCTTCCAGTAATTACTACTGTGAGGCCCCACTATATACAATCATGGCACTTTCACAACAATATTAGACCATCACAGCAATGTTTAAAGGTAAGGTTAGGTAAACTTGAAAAAAATTTCAAACTTCATTTAAAGTTATATAGTAACTTAAAAAATAAAATACACATACCTATATACTGTATTTACATTGATTTTGTTGTATTGGGTGTTTTGGGCCGACAAAAAAAAGTGCTTCAAATTAACAGAGAAATGGCTTTAATGGATGACCCTCCCTGCTATTAGACTGTTAAATTGAGGTTCCACTAATATATATATATATATATATATATATATATATATATATATATATATATATATAAGTGAACATAGAAGTCAATACTTAGATGGCAACAGTCTGTTTCATGCTAGATGAAATCATCAGGCCACCTGACAATTGCATCTAGCATGAAACAGACTGTCGCCTCTAAGTGTTGACTTCTGTGTTCACTTTTATATTTACACACGCTCTATCTCTGATATTGAGCACTTTATCCCATAAATATAGCACATCTTAAAACTGTTTCTTCATATATATATATATATATATATATATATATATATATATATATATATTTTTCTTATAATTTGAGTCTAGAACACACACATACATGGTGTGTATGTTCTAGACTCAATGGATTATTATGAGATATATATATATTAACAAACCCCCAATTTAACAGACTAATAGTGGGAGGGTCATCTGTTAAAACTGTTTTTCCGTTAATTTGAAGCAATATATATATATTTTCTCATAATTCATTCAGTCTAGAATATATTACATATATATATATATATATATATATATATATGAATAAAAGACAAATAAAAACTTTTTCTTTTGGTGACGCGTTTTATCTTCCCAGGAATTTAAAAAATATATCTATGAAGGTAAAAAGAATCCTACACACAAAAATTTATCAAATGCATTAGTGATACATAGAAACAACTTTAGCAACAACTTCAGTGTAAAGAATGTGACATTTATTAAAAGAGAAAGTAACTTACTTAGCCGGAAAATTCTTGACGGTGCAACTATCAAATCTTATCAAAATACAATTATTGTTGATGTTTTTTACCTCTCAAATTTTTTTCATCAGCCTATTTCATCCACACATTATATATATATATATATATATATATATATATATATATATATATATATAATTATTTTTTATAAAAAATTATAACATAAGTATGTTATAAAATCACTACAAAATAGCCATTTTGTTTCAACACACTCTGTGTCTTATCAAGTGATGATGTTGAAAATAAAATAAATGGCTTTAAAAGTTTCAGATTAATTAAAGATCCTACACTAGGGGAAACATTGTTACAAAAGCTAGAATAACCAATCAAAAACGAAGTATAGAAAGATTCAAAAGCTTGACAACGAAATCCTGCTATAATAGCTTTTCAGATCTTTAAATACGTGTAATATTAAAAATAATTTATACTAACTAATAATTATAAAATTATATGATAAAATTTAATATTAAAATTAAAAACTGGCAATTTTAAAATCCAAATTTAATCACTATTAAGTTTAAAAACTACAAAATTATTGAGAAAAAAAAAATATATATGTTTATTCAATTCATTTCTTCATTGAAATTACGTTAAACAAGGGACGCTACAATATATCGGTCCTTTGACAATACATGTATATATATTTTTTTCTTTTTCCCTTTCTTTTTCCGTTTTTATTATATATATATATATATATATATATATATATATATAAAAGTTCGAAACAACATATTTTCACATTGAGACACCAGTTCTCATATGATCACTGAAGCAACATTGAGCCTGGCCAGGACCTAGATGGGTGACCACTTAGGAATACCAGGTGCTGTAAATCTTGGATATGTAGGTAGTTTAATGGATAATGGCTTGGAATTGTTAATCAGAGAGCCAAGTTCCAATTCCAGTTGTGTTTGTTATATTCACTTATGTGCAAATACACTCCGGCTATGGGTTAATTAATAGAAAATTTTTTTTTTTCTTACAATCTAAAACTTTTTGGGGGTTTTATATAACCTGCAAAGGGTTTAGAAGTTATAAAAAAAAACCAAATCATTCAATCAACAACATATTTTCCAATATGTTGTTTAAAACTAAGTTATAGTCAGAGAAGTGAATGAAATAAGGGGTTATGACAGTTCTGTCTATCAGTAGCGAGAGTGTGTATTTATAGGAACAGGGTTAATATAATAATAATGTTGGAATTTGTTCTATTCAGCAGAAAGGAGGCAAAGTGATGAAAATAAAGGAAAAGGAATTTCTAAAAGGAATAAAAGAAAATTATGGACAGAAAGGAATTTAGAACAATCCGGAAGGAGGAATTATCCACAAAAGGCTATTAGTAATTAAACAGTAATAGTGAATGACAAAGACAATTCAAGTCTCAAGGGAGGAAGATCCTTTTGTTAGAATTCCAAGAAAATATCTTAAATTTGCTGGTTGAAAAATACAGAGCCCATAGCAGCTTTGTAACCAAGGAAATAATCATATTAATGGTTGCCACCAAGAAGAGGCTCTGTTTTGTTCTATTGTGTGGTTAGTGTGATCAAAAAACAATTCGCTCATACACAAGACAAATCATAGAGTCACAATAATATCATCCGACAAAGCCTGATAGTTTGCAAGACATAAGCCTGCAAAGCACCAGTGATATTATGGCTGGATGAGGTCATTGCTATAGAATGCTGGGTATGTAGCTTCAACATAACAAAGTGTCAATGTGCACAGTTCAAGCTTTGCAGGCTTCTCCAATCAAATAACAGTGTTCCTGGAGAGAAATTTCCAAGGAATCAATAACAAATTTTAAAGTAGTTACAGGATTCAAAGACACAAAAATGCTTCATATAAAAAAAAAGAAGAAAAAAATTTTTTTTTCTCCAAGTTACCAGAGATTTTAAGTCATTAACTAGATTCTTGATGATTCACTTCAGTTTCAAAAGTTAAAATAATGATCCAGGCTTCAAACTTAGAGTCAAAGCTGAATGCCTTGGTTTCAAATTATCATCTTCACTATTTTTTGAAATTAGATTAAAAAAAAAAAAAAAAAAAAAAAATTTACTCTCTTGCTAAGTAAGAAAAAAAATAATATTATGACCAACTCAAGAATAGTACCTCATAATACCATCTAACATTATGTTATAGTGGAACACAACTATTCTATAGTTAATAGACTCTCCCACCTATAATAAGTAGGAGTAGTAAGAGTAACGGGGAGTGGCTCAGTAGGTCAATCAGTCAGTCAGTCGATGCCGGACGGCCGATAGTCAGATACGAAAGTATCAGCGACCACAACTAGATTTCTGCGTCATTACCTATTATATCAAGTTCCTAATGTTTTGTACGTCGAACCTATTTTAGGACCGATTTAGTACAAATACAAGCCTCCACTGTGAAACTACTCCATAACACATTGTTGGGTTTCATTTTCAGTGTAAAATAATATCTTTTTATTTGTGCAAACTTGCTGTTTTTATCTTAACTTTTCAGCCAATCACTTCTTTGGCCTTTCTAATATTGTCTTAATTGCTGAAATGAGTAATTGTTATTATTCTATGAGATCAGCATCATCACCTATTTTTTTGAAATTAGATAAAAAAAAATAACATTTAAATAAATCCATGTAACAACAAAAGGTCCATTGACCCAGGAGCTAGGAATGATTTCAAGGCTGTCTCAGGAGTACCATTTTATAATAACCCCTCAATGTCCTTACTACAGGGCATGGCAGAAATACCTCCCATGTAATGGTAAGATATTAGCTAGATGATAACTCGATCACTGCTAATGTCTTAACATTATATGGGGAGGTGGTTATCCCGCACCTTAAAAAAAATAACACAAAGAAGAAAATGCAGCACCTGCAAAATCTAAAAAAATATTATGGCTGACTCAGGTTCAGTAGCTCATGATATAACCTGATATTGCTGAGCTTCATTTAGAGTGTAAATAATGACTTTTTATTTCTACCTATATTTTCGAGATGATTGGTTTTATTATGGTAGAATCTCTCATATCTGAAGGGACTCACATCCAGAATCCTGCATATCCAGACATGATTTTGATGTGTATATTTGAACTATTTGGGAAAAAAAAAATTGCAGATCTTAAACTATAAATAAATTTTCTTAATAAACCTGAAAAAAAACAAATACATATTTTAAGTCTGTTTATAGTTCTGAGATGAGGTATTGTAATTATTTTCCATTATTTACATTGTTCAGACTGTTGCCTTCACCTTTATTGCCATATTCACAATGTTTCGGCCATTGTACACTCCAGCCTTCTTCAGGATCTGCCAATATTTCTGAGATGAGGTATTGAAACTATTTACATTATTCAGACTATTTCTCATCTTTATTGTCATATTCACAGCATTTCAGCCGTTGTACACTCCGGCCTTCTTCAGGATCTGTCTATATTTCTGAGATGAGGTATTGTAATTACTTTCCATTATTTACATTGTTCAGACTGTTGTCGTCATCTTTATTGCCATATCTACAATGTTTCAGCCATTGTACATTCTGTTCACGGCCAAAACATTGTGAATATGGCAATAAAGATGAGGACAATAGTCCGAACAATGTGAATAATGTAAATACTTATATTATGTCATTTCACTATTGTTTCATTATTCAAAAATATTTTTCATCATACCATTAAATCACATGACCATGTTGCCATTAGTAGTTTTGTTCAAAAGCCTACATTTCCAATCCTGATTATCAAGTTTCTTTTTACTGATTCTAAAGAAATATTTACTTTTTTAGATATTTATTTTGTAATGATCTTACTCATGTATTTACAGTTTAAAACCTCCATTAACTTTGATAGCAGTGAAGGGTTGTCATGAAGAAATTTAGTTTCGTTTCAGAAAATTTTAACATTGGACAGCTGGACTTGATAATAAAATAAGTGAAAATGATTTATATTATTTACTTTTGGACTAATATCCTCAACTTTGTAGCTTATAGCTACAATACGTTGAAACACCAGTAAGATCACTGAAGTTAAGCAATGTCGAGCCTGGTCAGTACCTAGATGGGTAACCACTTAGGAATACCAGGTGCTGCAAACTTAGAATTGTTAATCAGAGAGTTGTGTTCTAATTCCAGTTGATTTTGTTATATTCACTAATGCACAAATACCCTTGAGAAAAGCTTGAATTCACCATTTCCTCCCCCCAGCTATGGATTAATTAGTAAAACTTCTATTACTAAAACATTATTATTAAAAAAAAAAAAAAAAAAATTCTTTCAATCTAAAAACATTTTCTGGCTTTAAATATACTACAAAAGGTTGATAAACTGTAAAAAACAAAAAGATTTTTCTTGTTCCACTGTCCATGTCTAGGGATATCTTGTCTCCATCTTTTTTTTTTTTTTTTTTTTTGCTGCTCAGTTATTGCTTGCCCAGTTTCTATCCAGTCTAAGTCTGTACTACCCATCCCAGGGATTGAACTCAGAAACTAATGATTTAATCTAATAGGCTATTGTCTGTGGTATGTAAATAATAATAACTCCTCATACCAGAAATTCAGCAGCAACAAAAAAAAAAAATTATAGCTTAATTCAACTTCATTCTCCAAAATTCCAGACAATCCTATTTTCTAGAATTTTGACACATTTCTGCAGTAAAATCATTAGCAACACGTTTACATATAATAGCTCTATTGTTTTTTTTTTTTTATCATTTCACCCTAAGCAAGGTAATAAAGCCACCAAGATGGAAAGGGTCACTGTGTGTTAGAAAATGAGGAAAAACTCTTAAGGAGAGAGAACAATAAACGAAAAAAGAATTAAAAAGACTGAAGATAAGAACTGACACTGAATTTAAATTTTTGAAGATTAAAAATTTGTCTGGGAAGCAAGAAACAGAAAGAGATCCACAAGCGAGAAGAAAGTTATCATAGGATTTACTGTGACATTTAGCCATCCAAGCTTACAGCACCTGGTATTCCCAAGTGGTCACCCATCTAAGTATTGACCAGTCTTGACATTGCTTAACTTAGTGATCATTTGAGAACTGGTGTTTTAACATAATATGGTTTAAGGCAAAGGTCAGGTCTGACAATAGTTTCACACACACATATAATACCTCTATTCTGTCAGTAGCATTAATTTCTGACCATTGACAATCCCTTTGTTTCTGATTTTACATATTTATAGAGTAAGATCATGACCAATGGACTTGTGTCATTCTATATACAGGGTGCAATGGATAAATTGTTGTCTAAATTACACATAAATGAAAATAAAGCTGACATCTTAATTTAATAGATGTATTTACCAAAATTAAACAAAAATATCTGTAAATGTAAATTTATTCAATAAAATCACAATTGGCTTCAACCACGGCCTCCAAATACAAAATATCGATAATTTACCCATCACAGCCTGTATATACAGAGTACAATGGGTAAATTTTTCACCATTTCATATTTTTAATTTCGTGCATGCAGATTGTTTTTTTATCAATTGTACAGTATAGTAGGGTCAGTTGGGCACCATCTGCGAGAAAAAGAGCACAATGATGCAATTCACTCCACCAGAAAAATTTAGAAACATCATTCTATATTGCTTAGCATTCCTGCAAGAAGTTCCAATATGAACATTTGATTGTGGAGGCACGGTGCAGTAATGGATAGCGGCTCGGATTGAGGAATTGGAGAGCCGAGTTTGAATTCCAATTAGATCCATTACAACTCTCTGATTCCTCAATCTGAGTTCAAATTCCAGTCGAATCCATTACATTCACTTACGTGCTACTACCCTTGGGAAAGGTATGAATCCTCCTCTTCTCCCAACAGCTATGGATAAATAGCAGAACATACCGGGTTCTATAGCCTTAGGTGGCAACCAGTCTAGGAGAAGGAAAAACTGAATACAAACCTGATCTAGAGAAGGTTGGGCTCTGTTAGGCAATCTTGCCAAAGAAAGACCACTTCTACTGCAGCTACAATACACATGCTGCCCCTACGATCCTATGGGTCATGGGATTAAAAAAAACCCCAAAAAACAAAAAAAAAAAAAAACTATAGCATAACCTTAAAAATGAACAAAAACTGCAAAAGCTTTATTTTTCAATTTGCTAATGGTTCAATGTTATCTTTTCATATCAACCTCTATGGTTTGTTTCATGCTGAAATCCAAATATTTTGTAAGCAAATTTTTTATTTTATTTTTTGGAGATAATAATGGTTTAGCTATACGAGTTTTATTAATTAACAGATAGCTGGGTGGAGAAATTGCGGATTTATAGCTTTCCCAAGGGTATTTGCATGTAAGTGAATATAACAAACGCAACTGAAACGGGAACTTTATTTACCGATTTCAAATTCAGAGTCATTATCCATTACACCACTTGTACATCCAAGCTTACAGCAACTGGTATTTCCAAGCGGTCATGCATCTAGGTACTGACCAGGCTCAACATTGGTGATTGTACAGGAACTGGTATTTCAATATGATGTGACAAGAGGCCTGCTAAGGATATAATTGGATAACACTTATGTATTTTTTTTTTTAAACATTTAACAGTTTATAGCTATAGACAAATAAACAAAACGAGTTCTAAAAGGTTCCAGCAAGTTCTAAAAAGTCTCAGAAATTCATAATACTACTATAATTATATACAATTTTAGAAATTTCATATTGGGGGTGGTTACATTTTTATTTAAAAAAAAAAAAAAAAAAAAACTTAATTCGACATAATCTTTCTTCATATACGCAAATGATCTCCATATTTTGTTTACATTTATTTTGCACGCAATTTTTATCTTCTTTTAAAATCACCATTCTTTATGATCCCTTCACATAAACTCTTAAAAACATTGGGGAACTCAAACTATGTAATATTTTGAATACGTCACAGTACACATGCTAGAAAGAGAGAAAAAAACATGAGCTATGTACTGTGTTCTGCGTAAGTTTTAATTATAGGTTAACCAGATGATATCAATTGCAATTGTGATGAAAAGAGAAATTAAAGTTAAACCTTTAATAAAGAACTGTTTTTTTTAACCTTTCACTGTTCGATATTTAAATTTAACTTTAAATGAGTTATTTATTTAATTTTTTATCGTGTGTAACTACAGTAGTTATTACCTGTTGCTTCACTTTGTTTATGATTCACTGAGATCAAAAAAGAGAAAGACACACTGCACATTATATATATAGATAATTGAAAACATTCAAAAGATGGATGAAGATGCTGATCAAGTTTTGTTAAATGCAAATATTTCCATATATAGGTTACAGCTAAAACTAATGGCTACATCCTATGTTGACATATTTCAGAAAATAATTTAAAATATATTCGTGCTCTTATAAGGATGGCTTAAGATGCTGATAAAATTTTTGCAGATGTGAATATTGCCATCTGCAGGTTACAGGTCATGAATGCACACGCACATGCATGCATTTTGTCCATATATATATCCATATATATATATATATATATATATATATATATAATAAAGAGAAAGAACAGTAAGATATATAATCCGGTGTTCTTATTAAAATTTTTATTTTTACAAAAAAGTGCTCATCGCAAATCTACAGAGTATAAATATTTGCTTGAAAATGAAACAGGAGTAGGGACTTTAACTTAATTCTATAACTGAATTAGAAGGTTTTAGTTTCCGTTTTTGAAACATGGTAATTTCTGTGTAGCGATGGAACCATATTTTTAAATTAGTAAATTTATAATTATATATATATATATATATATATATATATATATATATATATTGAGAGAATAGAAAAGTTCAGAGCAGATAACATTAGAAAGATTTTAGAGTTCCATGAAAATAAGTGGATACAACATTTAAAAAACACACTATCCAGCCGGGCTAAACCATAAATTTAACAATATAGATAGTATTAATATATAACCCAACAAATTAAAACCTACCCACATTTCTCACTCACACAAGACAGACATGCTTACGGAGGTGTGGAGGCCTCACACTTATACACACACCCACACGAATATACACACTTACACACATCATACTCACTCACTCCCTAAGAACCAAATAACACACAAACACTTAACAGAGACACATCCCCTCTGCAGGAACCAACAAAACTGTCAAACTGACCAAGGGAATTCAGAGATGCATAGATCTATCCAGCTCTTATCTCAAATAACAACTTAAAAGAGACTGTTTGACCAACACAAGGAATGTTAAAAGATTCATATTAAAAAGATAAAAAATAAAAAAAAACAAATGAAAACTACAGACAAAAGTTCATTTTCTCCATCAAGACATTCATTTCTGTAGTTTACTGCTACCAGCATGCAGAAATATTTCTTCTCCCGATGATGGCCACTTTAGCTGAAACTAGTCGAGGAATCTAAATGAAATAATAATAATAATAAAAACGAAAGAATATTAATCTACAACCCAGTGTGTCTGAAGATTTTAATTTTATAAGATTTTTTATTGTTCAATATATATATATATATATATATATATATATATATATATATATATAGTGTGTGTGTGTGTGCACGTGTCTTCCCTGGGAGAGACTCTCAAATGTTAAACTAAGGTCACGTGAAGTAAGAAGAAACCATGACCTTCCAGGAAATTAGGTACAAGTCTTCATTTCAATTTAACTTCCCTGATTCACAAAACCGAATATCAGCAGTCACCCTTTAGCATCACAATTTCTCAAAACTGTAAGGGAGAATTCATCTCCACCCACCCATACAATTTGGCATTATATTTCTCTATCTACAACATGCTCATCATGTAGTTTCTCTCTTCAGCCAGGAAATCTGGTCCTAAGTTCTTAAATGTTTTTGCCCAAATGTCAAGGGATATTTTAAGGTCAAAAATCAGTGAACTGTGGGATAGGATTAATGTTGTCTTTGCTTTTGCAGTTGACTTGATGCTGCTAGTATCAGTTTCTTTTGCTCTGGTAAAAAGAAAGAAAATAACAATTCTTCTAATCTTTCAAATGGTGGCCCTGACACATCAACATCCTAGTGTCCCATTTAACACTTGGTTGGCAAATATGATACCAGCCAAGAAAAACAGAATTTCAGATTTCACTTTTGTCAAAG